TTACATCTGGGTCTAATAAAATTAGACCAAAAACAGACTTATAGTGACACAGACAATTTTAGTCATTTTTAAAAAAATCAGACAATTTGTGGACACTTTATTGTGACGAGGACAATTTTGGTCCTCCGTCCCTCTTGCCTTTAGATACTCCGTTTGAGAAGGGGTATTTACGTCTTTTCATCATACTCCTTCTTCATCATCTGCTTTGCTTTTTTACTTACGCCAGTCACCCACCGGCCGGAAAACCAAAGTCCAAGGTCATCAGAGATGCTGTTGTTCGTCGTTGTTCAGTCTTTGCCGGATCCACTTGATGTTACTGCGGTAAGGCTTGAATTTTGGTATTAGTACCGGTGCCCGGATACCCTCCATCTCGGCTCTACACTACCCGGAGGAGTGTTAGCATTTCAGCAGATTGAGTTTGTAATTGTAGGCAGTCATCGCCGCCGATCTGTAATGTTTCGGCTTGAACGCCGCCATTCTGATCCCAGACGCCACTGGTCTCGATTCGATCAAGAACGAGGTAATTTCCCTGCAGCGCTCCCATTACTGTATATAATATTTATGTGTGTCTATATTAGATATATACGAAGATCATTTTCTTCTTCTCTGTATGTGCATCTGTACGATTGCGGTGGAATTTTTGTAAGTTCTGATAGATTGGGAAACACTTCAGATGATTGATTCATTGTTCTGATGGAATATTGCGATCTGTTGTTGCATTAGTTGCGAACATATGGCTTCCAAGTGTTTGCCGATGAATATTCTGGATTGGGAATGCAGGATGTTGAAGTTCTTTTGTATTTTTCTGATTAACTAGGTTCTACAAGCCCTGATGTGTCTGGGAGCTGTGAATAGATCCTTGTCCTTAGTCTGTTGAGATCTCCTTAATCGTGAGATCTTTCAAATAATATAATTCATTTTAAATAATATGAAATTTATAGTTAACATTTAACAAAATATACAAATATATTTAAACAAAAAACAAAACACAAAAGGAATTAAACAAAAAAGAGGGGTCAAAATGAAGAATTTTTTTTTTTTATAGAGATTTGGCGCACTGTAAACAGTGCTGCGCCAAATATGGCAACCGGTTTAATAAGGGCAATTTTGTCTCTTCATATTTTTTTTGTTATTTTTCCAATTTCAACCGATTTAATTAGTTTTGAACTTTAGGTAACCTTTGATTTTTAGTAACCATATTTTTCAAACGGTTTTTAGTAAAGTACTAAATTTGAAATTGCCACCAAAGACAAGAGACCTCTGGTAGAATTAACCCATAAGAAAATCCTATATATAATGTTATAGCAATAATGGAACCATGCTGTGTGCTCCCCCGAGATAACTTTAACTAGAGAAAGTTACAACTAGCAAAGTGAAATGTACAACTTTCACAGCACACGACATGATGCTGCTAGACATTTTGCACTCTTCCTTGGTAATCAAGTTTATAACGTAACTACGTAAGTATTATGCCTTAATGGGTTAATCCCAAATTAACATAGGAAAGTGTGACCAGAAAGCAGAGTTGGTATTCAACATTTTTTAGTTTAAGGTAAGAGTAAACAAAGAGCAACTGGGAAGATAAAACATGTACAAAACGGAGCAGATTGGAAGCTCCCTAGCTTTAGTTGCAAACGCATATAAACAAACCAGAATCCAGATGATTGTTCTAATCCACAAGGCAACCTGTTATTGGTAGGAAGAAAATCAAACTGATAATCATATCATCCAATCACATTTTGTTTATTTTGATCAACATCGTTATTTAACTATATATGCAACCATAATATAACCACAAGATTGTCAGCAGAATGAACCGACAAACAAGCTTTTCAGTTTCCATGTGCCTTCTTTCGTTTCAAAAAAGTGATGATTGCTAAAAATGATCTATGGGGTCCTTCGAGTGATTGAGTTGAGCTAGTGAAAACAAAATCACAAACGATTTCTTCATGTAAAGTTTATGGAATGTAACAAATCAACGATGATATTTTCACATCTTGTCCTCAAGAGAACAGCACAGTAGAAGTTTCCAACTATGTGGTCCAAAAGAGCGAAACTATCACTTTCATCAGATTAACGTCCTTTTTTGTTTACAAAAAATCATCATGAAAACAAGAGAGGGTCCCCAAATTAAATGAATTGTGTTTAATGACGACATACCTGTAATGGAGAAATCTAGAAGTGGCACGAATTCATGATGAGACACACAACTTGCCTGCCAGCTCCATATATCAATCTACAGAACGAGACAAAAACAGTAAATCCCATGATTCAATGTTCCCTATCCATTCATTCACTATCAACTCAAGAGTTTGGATTGTAATACGCAAAAAAAAGAGGACTTACGTTGCTGACTTGCCGTCCATCAGTTGTCTGAGTTATGAACTTAAGAGATTTGGGCGTTTATCTCACAGACTAGTGGCCACTGATTCTTTTCATTAGGTCATCCATCATCAAGTTTATGCAGTTCGATCTTTAAATAATAATTCAACCATTAAAGGTAATGATAGGATTACCACCAATGAAGTAAAGGCAAAGCACAAAACTTTCTGAACTCCCTTCTTTTGCTGTCTTTTACAGAGGATATATCATCTAACCAATCATTGGAAGAGGATCCAAAAAACAGAAGCATATGTCAAACAATGTAATCTTTACAAATTTGCAGGCACTAGCCTGTTAATTATGCAGAGTACTTGCATTTTACTTCCCTTGGTAAAGATGTTATCAGCAATAGAACTTATTTATGAAAAGGGAACAACAGAAAAAGAAATTATTATAATCCTATATTTCATACAAGCAAGATGCATTTATTAGAAGAAACTGAATAAAATTTAATCAGAAACTTTACATTGTTTCCATTTCCTTATGTACATATTCCACTACCATGTGGAATTGATTTCAGACTATCTTCCTAAGAACCAATCATCCTTACAGAAATTCAAATTCATCCAAGAACCAATGAAGACAAGAAATACAATATTGGGCGTAATTTCTTGAGCTATTATTGGCTTCTCAAGATTATGGTGAAGTATTTGCCCAATCACTTCTCCTTTTGAATAAGTTATCAGTTTACTCTTTCTTAGCCTTTTTCATTTTCATTTGATAGATATAAGATATCCCTCCCTAAGCTATCCCAAAGACCAATCTAATGATTAGCATACAACAATCAGATGTTAACAGGTGAAAGAGATGAATCCATCACAACACCATTGGGAGGTGGCATGCTTTTCACCTCATCAATTAGTCTTGTGAGTTGTTTCGTAAGCTCTTGATGAACATAATTTGAGCGCTCTACTGTTAGTGATGATTCAGAAAAAAGAGTTGCAGTTAGAGCATTGAACTCTTGAAACCAGTCGCCATTGCTGTATCCATTCCTTATATTGTCATAAGGAAGCAAGGAGCTTTCTTGTCGCCATCGATTCAAGAAATATTTTTCTGGAAGCTAAAATAATTTTTCATCAGAAGAACACGAAGAGCATGTCTGCATAGGATTCCAGAAGTTTCAAATTCCTTGCAGGAACAGTGGATCTGTTCATCTTTTGGTGCCAAATAACAAGGCGTTCATCATCTTTTTTGAAGTGGCGAAGGATGTATGAACCATTAGCCATTTCAGATGCAGTGTATTGCATGGCCAAGATTAATTCACTTTGTAATCTGCTGAAGGAAAAATCAGTAAGAACATTCTTTGCATGCTCTTCCATTGGTGAGCAAGTCCTAAGATGCATGTACTGCCAATCATCATGTGACCGAGTTTTATAGTTTGATGAAATTGCAACCTGAAAATTGTAAATAATAAAATTATTAACAATAAATACAGAGGAAGTAAAAGTGCTCAGAAAGGTAATGGTTCCTTATCACAACTAGAAAAGTAAATCATATTATCATAATTCCACATGGATCCAAGAAAAGTTATCCAATAGATTAATTACTTTATAACTGAAATACACTTTACCTGATCAAAGAAGCTGCGCAAACATGTATGCTTGCCAAAAACTTCTTTCAAGAATGCATTTATGTACTTTGCATACGACATGGAGTTCATTTGTGCAACAAAACAACCTCTCGTATAAGCAGATGCCCAACATACCCGGAGTAAAAAGAGTAAAGCAATATGCTTATCTGAGTTTAGCCCAAACCGTGAAGTCATCTCATTCCAATGACATTCAAAATCTTCTACACTCTCCAAATGATATAACACTTCAAATTCAGATTTAAATTCTGCATACCGAGATCCAAGTGGAAGAGAGAACCAGTTGGAAATCTTTGGCAGGATGTTCCAAATAGAGATAATGTGTTTTGTGCTAGGTAATTCACTTTGGATGGCATCTCTGATTCCAGGGTCAATATCAGTTATAATTGTTCGAGGAGGTCTTCCTTTCATGAAACGAAGAAAAGCCTGCATCAGCAAGCATAAAAGTTAGACTATTAAGAAGGCAAATAAAATGTACTATAACATCTAGAATGATACAGAAGGATTTCTGAGGTAAACCTGCAAAGCCCAGATGAATGAGTGTGGCACTTCATCCTGCAGTAATGCGCAGCCAAAGAAGATAACTTTTCCATAATTGTCAATGCCAAGCCACACTCCAAAAAGCATACCATATGTAATTGATCGATATGTTGTATCAAAATAAACTACATCACCAAAAGTGTTGTATGCATGAACTGAGTCTCCATATGACCAAGCAATGTTCTCAACCTTATTACTTTCATCCACAGTAACATCATAGACAAAGTAAGTGTCAGTCTCTTTGGCAGCCTTGCAGGCCTCAAGAAGATCCAATGTGTCACTTTCTCTTTTCTCGGTCAATAAGCATCATTCTCTTGAACTACTTTCTTGTGGTTTTGAACAAAATTTCTAACATCTCTTTCCAGAAAGGGCAGTTGTTCACCATGAATTTCCTTTTCCAACTCAAGCACCTTAACTATTCGATGGATTGGAAAACCAGCTTTTTGAGAGCAAAAGAATGCGTTCTTGATCTGTTTCTTGGATTTTACGATAAGCTGAAGTAGGCGTACTTGTTCATCCTCAAGAGTCATGAATGCACATTACTAAATTGGACAACACACCATTGAGAAATCCATCCATGACTTCCTTTGATAGATACATCTTTGCATCACATCCACACCGAACTGACTTCCTATCCCTATGATGCTCTCCTGTGGATTTCTTCCTCATAGGCGCAAAACCTGATCGATAACAAACAAAATCTCTCTTATAGATACCCAATTGGGGGCTCAATCTGGAACGCTCTTTCCTAACTGAAAATCCATTCCTTCTAGCAAAATTTCTGTAGTACTCAAATGCATCTTCATCACTCTTAAACACCATACCCACGTAAGGCGAAACCATAGGTTCTGTTGACCTAAACTCACTTCTTGCCAACTGGGATGCAATGGTTGCTTCCTCAGTCTCTCCCTCATACGAAAGGAAACATTTCCAATCCCCACACGGGCATTGCTGCCTTCTCATCCATAAATTCTTCGAAGGCACTGACACCATAATTTATCTATACCTACTACACAGATTCACATAAAAGGTCTTTAGAAAGACCCAGAAGCAACCCACAACAAGAACTTTAAGCGAAATATTGCACAATGTAAGCCTAAATTGGAATCACGGTATCAAGGATATAAAGCAAAATTCGAACTTTATGTAGATTCTGAAAGTGGGTATCTAAACTCTAACAAAATTGCTTTTTGGGGTAGGTTTCAAGTCTTTCGATCAAACCAAATGCATACACATAAAACATAATCACTGAAAAACTGTACGAGCACGAGAGTGAAAACAAGATTGATATACGGTTAAAGGGGAATTTTTTATACCAGTGAAGAAGACAAGGGATGGAAATTCAGTATTTCTCTTTGACTGTCCCAGAGCTCGGAGTGCTACTCAGTTTCTGTCGCAGTTTTGTTCGACTGACAATCGGAGGAATTCTGCATAAGGAGAATCCAATTCGAGATTATGGATGGATCAATTATTAACGTTTGGGCCAAAATTTTTTATAAAGCAAATAAATGTTTGGGCTGTGATCCGGGCAATTTATATCCTACACCACGGCGAGCGTTGCCAGTTGTTATATTATAGACCGCGGTGCATAATCGATTATGCACCGCGGCCCATATACGGCGCCGTTTCTTTAAGTAAAGAACGGCCCGCCGTTAGAGTTAACGGAGTTCGTTTGTTTGGTGTATTAAACACCAACTGACACTACAGTATATCCAAACCGACACTGCAGTTATATCAAAATGATACTGTAGTTATAGTGAAATGAAACTGGCAGTGTATATAAACTGAAACTGAATAACATTTAACATATTTGAGTGTATATTGTACAATGAAGCTGTAATTATATCAAAATGATCATGTAGTTGTGTTTTAATAAAACTATAGTGTATATAAAATAAAATTAAATAACATTTTCACATATTTGAGTCTATAAATATCGAATGAAACTATAGTTATATCGAAATGAAACTGTAGTTGTGTTCAACTGAAACTGCAGTGTATACAAAATGACACTGAATAACAGAGTTACTTTTTGCAAAAGGGTGCGAAACGGCGGAAATAAACACTGTTAATTTTCATTTAAAAAAAAAGATGCGCGGTGCATAATCGATTATGCCACCGCGGTGCATAATATAATTTGCCGAGCGTTGCACTGTGCGCCCAGATGCAAAATGACGTCGTTTTAATTTTTTTTTTTTTTTTTTTTTTTTGTTTTGAAATTTCCCGCCCCAGTGAATGGCAGTAATTTTTTCTTTAAAAAAAACCCGTTGTTCAAAAATGTACATAATGTTATACTAGAATACACATAATTGTATACATGAATGTACATAATTATATAACAAAATATACATACTCTTTTTAAAAGATAATACACATAATCTAACATAACACATAATAAACATAAACTTTTAACATAATACACATCAACTCTTAACATAATACACACAAATTTTCTGATTCGGATGTACATAATTGTATAAAAATGTACATAACTGTATGAACAAATACACATAATTGTGTGAACAAATACACATAATTGTGTGAACAAATACACATAATCACAGCAACTTCTACCGCGCCTCCCAAAACGACGTCGTTTTGGGAGGCGCGCGGCGCATAGTGCTACGCGCGCCGTGGTGTAGGGTATAACGATTGGTGATCCGGAGGGCAAATTCGGTCCGGTCCACACAAAAACTATTGGCAATTATGTTGAAGGTGGACTTCCAAAACTGTTCATAATTATGAATATATAGTTCAAAAATTATGAATATATAGTTTTATAATTATGAACATAGAGTTGTGAACATAATTATGAATATATAGTTCTATAATTATATAGAGATTCAATAATTGTGAATATGAAGTTCAAAATTATGAATATATAACTTTATAATTATGAATATATAGTTCAGTAATTATGAACATAGAGTTCTATAATTGTGAATATAAAGTTCAATAATTATGAATATGAAGTTCAAAAATTATGAATATATAGCTTTATAAAATGAACATATAATTCAGTAATTATGAACATAGAACCATGTCCACCTTGCAAGGTGGACACGGTTCCACAACATAACGATTGATAACTATTCAGCAATTATATCATGGACCATGGTCCAAAACGGCGTCGTTTCTTTAAATA